CCTTCCTGAGTCAGGGATCCAATGTCTTCCTCTGTGTTTACCCCATCTACTACCCCTCCACCGCCATGGGTGGGAGAAGAAGTGGCCCTCAGAGGCTGGAGAGCCGAGCCAGGCCAGCAGCCCTAAGATGGGTCTATTTCAGACCTGGATGGGAGCCCTTCTGGCACCTTCTCCCCTGTCCAGCCCATCACATCCTCTGGCATTAGCCCTACAAGATCCCCCACCTCCAACCTGGGACATTCTTTTTTGTTTTGAATTATAAAGGGTTAGCAAACTCTGGTCCAATGGCCAAGGCCTGCATTTACTTTTGTAAATAAATTTCATTGGCACACAGTTGCCCCTGCTCATTTACATATTGTCCACAGCTGCTTTTTGAGACAACAGTGCTGAGTAGTGGGCAACAGAGAGCTTCTGCCCCCCTAAGCCACAAATATTTACCACCTGGGACCCGTGACACCCCCGTCCTCATTACTGAATGGCTTGGCTCCCCCTCCCTAAAGTATGTCCTGCAGCCTTTTGTCCTTTCCCACCACGGAGCCCACAGGTGGGTCGGTCTCACCTCCCTCTGTGGGCGGCCAGCCGCCCCCGCTCCCCAGGGCAGCCAGCCGCCCCCCACTGGGCCCCTCTTTTGCTGTTCAAGGGCTTGGTTTTCTGGAGTAGCTCAGGACATTACCCAGCTAAATGAAGAATGTGGAATACTTGAAATTTCCACTCACACACTCCTTGGAAAAAACACATTAACCTTTAAGAAGGGAATAATAGCTTCGTTTTCAAGTGACCTTATGTATTAGCTCTTGCCGAGCACTTTCTGGAGGGAGCCACGGCCCATGGCAGGGACCCAGCGGGTGCAAAAGATAAGAAAACATAAAGCCCAGCAGAATCCTTTGCCGGCTCTGAACTGAGGCAGACAATTGTCGACCGACAACAGCGATAGCCTCCCTCACTCCTGCGAGACACCAAGTCTGCCCACCAGGATGTCACCTGCTCTCCTGGATCTGCTCTGGGCCTGGGGCTGAGCAAGCAGCCGCTGCCTGGCTGGCGGGCCCTCTGCTCTCTCTTTCAGTTGTAGCTCCTTCTGCCTGACCAGAAGGCTCACCTTCTCCTTAGAACAGCCTCCCCCAGGAAAAGCTATCCCACCAGCCTTCTCTGCCTCACCTCCTCCTTAAAACGCAGACTCCACGGTCCACACGTTGCAGAAAACTGCATAATCTACACTATTCTGGCCAGGGGGTGGCGGGGACCGGTGGTGGTCGGGGGAGATTTACAAAGCATATTAGCATAGTAAAGGCTCTGAGAAGTCCTGCCAGGAAGAAACCTGTTTAATTTTGTGGAACACCAGCATTTTCCAAACTATTCTGGCATGGGAAGCCCCTAGCTTTTTGTGTTTTTTGGATAACACCTGTGAATGTTTGGCAGCATTGCTTATCCATGGAGCACATGTTAGAAACTGCCGACCACTGAGCATGCCTTCTCCAAGATCATTTGAGCTACAGAAAAGACCAGAGCTCATTCTTCATTCTCCAATTCTTCTGCTGATTTATTACACATGCATTCATTCCTTCATCATTCATTCATCAACGCCAGGTTCTGAGTCCAGATGCCTCCAGGAGCACACCCAGACCTGGGCGCCTCTGCTTCTCCAAGTTTCCTGGACGGCAGGGAAGAGAAGCGAGGCTCATGGGTTGCGGAATATGAAAGAAAGGTGTCGACGTCATGTTCCTGGACATCAAAGGTGCCACTTCCAAGGATGCTTTTTGAAGATAATTAGGGGGCAGATGATTTCAAAAGTCCACCACAAAGGGTCTAAATTTAGACAGTCAAGAAGCAGCTTGAAGGAGAGGGCTAGGAGGAGAGAGGAAGACCGAGCAGAGAGTGGGAAGGGGGCGTGCCATCAGCCGCCTGGGGAAGATGTGTGTGCCTGGCCCTGAGCTAAGAGCTTTATGCACCACGGGCCTCATTCCCTGCACAAACACCTAGAAAGTGCTTCTCAGGAGCCAGGGGGACAGCAGGGTGAACATGACCTAGCTCAGAACAAGCTGGGGAGGCAGAATCTCCCCAGTAATCACAAGGAGGGTGTCTGGCCACCAAGGGCAACACTCAGAGGTTTGCTCAAAGCCATGAAGCTGGAAAAAGACAACCCAGGAGTCCAAGGCAGGACCCTTGACTCCCAAATCCATTTTCCCGCTGAAACAGGAAGCAAAGGGACAATAAACTTAAAACATAACCAATCCCATTAGAAGATCAGTGATGTGGCCGAGAAGGAACAACGTTGGCAGAGAGTGAGCAGGAGGCTCGTGATGGATGTCAAGTGGAAAGGTGCAGCCGGTGGACAGAGCAGACTCAAGGGATGTGGGCCGTCCCCGTGACGGCGGCATCTCCCTCCTAGCCCACCTCTCCCCCCAACAGGGCCAGTTAATTCCAAAACGGTCCAGCCCCTTACCAGCAAGCCAACTGCCAGGGAGCACAGGCCTTACCACCAGCCCCCTGTGCCCTCACGCCTTTGCAAGGGGCTAGGAGCTGCTCCTCATTCTCCATGGTTCCTCTGCTCCTCTAATGGAAAGCCACCATGCCATTGTCACCAGAGGGGCACAGGGAGTTGGAAGACTGCTGGGGGCAGAGCTCTGCCCCTGTTAGCAGCTGATGGGGTGCCTAGAAGGCAGGGCATGGCCACCCCTTTGTGGTCCCAGAGGGGACAACTCAGCCCTGCTGGTGGCAGTCCACATCCCCCCAATGACTCCTGGCTCCTCCAGCCCCCCAGAACCCTGGTGGGAAACCCACCCTGTGATGCTATGTTTCGGACATCATCTTTCCAGAGACAGTCTGTATGTGTTTCCTCTTGACGCTATAACAACTTTTCACAAACTTAGTGACGTGGAGCACAGACGTTTTTTATCGTGCAATTTTAGAAGTCCTAAAGTCAAGGCTGTAAGGACCTATTTACCCAAGATGGAGTTGCTCTGGCGACTTTAGGACTTCAAACTAAACCAGAATTAATAACATGGGACTAAACAAACTAAAAGATTATAATATTGTGTCTCTTAATGTTTTGTCTCATTTTAAACATTGCTGGTTCTCTAACGTTTACTCTTCCAGACTAGAAAAACCTTTTTCTTAAGATGTCTATGACTTACAGAAATTTACGTAAAAGAATTCATTTGCAAACAAATCAAGGCATTCAACTTTTCTCTCTATCTGAACCCTCTGAAACTCAAAAGATCTCAGTAAGTATTCTTTCTTCCGTGGCAATCAGTCATTTGAATAAGTTCAATAAGAATCTGTTCTCTTTGTAACAGGACACTATTGGAAACACTGGTTATCTTACCAAGACTTTGACTGAAAAGTCATATTTAAAAAAGACTCAGATATGACCAGACAGCTTAAAGGAACTAAGGTTGACTTTATAAAACCTGGAGCCATAAAGCCCCTTGGAACTGCTGGCCTGATACCTTGCTGATAGAGGTCCCAGCAGCCTCCCCAGGTGAGTAAAGAATGTCACTTCCTGGCAGGTGCAGGAACCTGAGGATACTTTGGGGACCTCAGAAAGAGGAATTCGCCCAAATTGATAGGTATTACAGGCATGTCTGATGGCAAGTACGTGGTGTGGCTTCTGGTCTGGAGAGGCTACTAAAAGTTCAACCTAAAGATTCCTTATAAAAGTTCCAGCAAAGCAGATTCTTAAAGATCTGTATGATCACTCATTGTTCCTACTAAACTTATGTAAATACTTGGGCCAAGTTTGCTAAAACTAGACTTGTTTTTCAAATAAATTAGTCCTGATTTGGCTATCTCTAGAAATGAAGATTATTTTAAAGAGAAAAAATATGTTTTAATAACACACCTTTATGGATATTAAGTTCTAAATTTTATTGTCTTTAAATGTTTGTTTACCTAAGCTAGACAACTTGAGGTAAACTTCAGAAAAGTTGCATGATAACTCGTTTAGACAATCTTGCCTTTGCCAGTCAGTCAGCCCCAAATATAAGAAAAAAACTTCAGGAAATTAAAGGATTTGAAGGGAAGAATCTGACTGAGTTAATGGGACTAGCAAAAAAAGATGTTTAACAACAGGGAAAATATAGACACAAGTATATGTTAGTTTTTGTGGATACCTTTTCAGGCTGGGTAAAGACTTTTTTCTGCCAAACATAAGATGGCAGGAATAATAGCCAAAAAAGCTAGAAAAATAATTCCTAGGTTTGAGTTGCCTCTCGCCATCGGGTCAGACAACGGCCCTGCATTTGTGAGTTCAGTCTCACAGGCATCGGCCAAGGCCATGGGCACTAATTAAAAACTACACTGTGCCTACTGGCCCCAGAACTCCAGTTAAGTAAAAAATAAAAAATAAACCAGACTCTTAAAGAGACCTTCACAGAGTTAATTCTGGAGACTGGCGGTGGATGGGTGGATCTCCTTCCCTCCTTAGAGTGCAATATACACCCCACTTTCTTTAAGTGATGCATGTGGGATTCCCCTCATCTCTTGATAAGTTTTCTCCCACTTGCCAGTAATCCTCTGTAATCAGAATATTGTTACAGATGATCCTTACCACGCACAGAGACACTTCTTCACTGTCAGCTCTGGATTCAGCTGCCTCCGTCTTTCATTAACTCCCCTACATTCCCCTTCTCCAGGTCCTTAATCACATCTGAGGGTCTCTGCCATGTAAGGTCACATGTTCTCAAGTTCTGGGTTTTGGGAAGTGGCCATCACTGGGGGGCCATTATTCAGTCCAACACAGAGTCCCCTCCTAAGGCCTCCGGACTTTCCTGGCAGTTCTGTCCTACTGCCGTGGACATCAGCCAGGGCCTCGGGTCGGGGGTGTGGGGGTGCTGCAGGTGGATGGCCAGATGCCTCAGAGAGCAAGAGAGGAATGTTTACCTCGCCGTCCCAGCTCCCCCACAGTCACCCGGGATACAGTGGGAGCACAGTAAGCACTGGCTGAGTGAACAAATTATTCTGTGCGAAGGGATCGTTGGACTCTAGGACAAGGCTCTTCCGCTATGAGACTTGATGTCCTCATCTGTGAAATAGGGGCGTTCAACCCCGTCTCCTCCTCCGCTGAAGGCCCGCTGGAGCTGCAGAGGTGAGCAAGAGACATGAACCCCAGCTAACAGCACAGCCCAAGACCAGCCTCTCTTTATCTCCCAAAGCACCACCAGAGCCCACTGTCCCTCTGCCCTTGGGGACATGGGACAGCACAGCTGGTGACACCTGCATGGACCCTGTGCCAGGCACTCTGCGAGCATGTTGCAAAGGGCCACTCAGTGCTCCACAATCCTGGGGAGTCAATTCTGTTCAAACGTGGGGGATCGGAGGGGGGCAGCACCAGCAGCCAAGGGCTTTCCTTTGAAGGCTTAGCTTCTGGCACACACCGAGTGCTCTGGCCGAGCGTGGTGGCCAGCTGCTGTCCAGCTCAGGCACAGGTTTGCGTGACCCAAATCTTGAGTGACACAGGTTGGTTTTACTGGAAGCTGGAGAATAAGGAGGTCATGATGCACTCATTCATTCATTCATTCACTTGTTCAGTCCACGTGGACTTCCTGAAAGCCTACTATGTGCCCACACTGGGCCAGAAGCCAGGGTTACACACCAGGCGATAGCTACTTGAGGGGATGGGGAGAACATGACCCCCGAGCCCATGGCGAGCTCCCCAAGCACCGTGCTTCAGAAGCTGGGCTGTTCTCTGCACAGACGAGGGCAGGGCACGGATGCCTCTAGCCGCGGCCGGGAGAGCAGAGGGGCACCAGGGCCCCGAGGAGACATGCCTAGTTCAGAGCGTGTGCTGAAAGCAGGGGGGACCACCGTGTATGTGAGCCCAGCCTGGCCTGGCTCCTTACCCTCACCCCACCGCGGCATGGATGGCCCACGGACCCGGGGGCAGCTCTGCAGGCCACATGCGCCCATCTCCAGCCTGCAGCAGCCCCCAAAGACCAATTGGTTCCATCCGCTGCCCTTGGCCTAGCAACCCAGGCAGATCAGATTCCTGTCACCACTGTGCTGATTCCCCGGCTCCCCCAGAAACCTGTGCTCTGCTCCCCAGTCTCAACCAGTATCTTTTTGCAAAAAGGAATTACCCTTTTTGGCCGTGGGCTTGGACCTTACCACTTTATTTGCCTTGAGTATCACCGGGAGGTAAATCAGAGCCCCCCTGCCATTCTCTCCAGGAAGAGAGCTTCAGAGGACGTGACTGTCCCCAGGTCTCCGGCCATTTGCCATTCGCTCACTCAGCCCATGGACACTTCTTGCCACCAGCTTTGTGCCCAGCCCCTGCAAGGCCCTGGGGTTCCATGAAAACCGGGGGACAGAAAGCCCACTCCATGGAGTGTGCAGTGCCAGTGGGGGAGGCATGCCAACCCCGGTCTCCCAGTCCCCCAGTGCCTTTCCTTGGCCTTAGGACAAGCCCACGCACCCCAAGGGCTCGAGACCCAGCCCAGCATGGCGGAGGGGGTGGTCAGTGTTTGCTCTGTGAGGCAGTGAGGGCCTTGCATGTGCTGATGCTCCCACCAATCTGGGGGCAGGCAGAAATTCTATTAAAGCTCAGAGAGATGAAATGACTTGCCCAGGGCCCCACAGCTATTGAGTAGTGAATTCAGGACTCTAGCTTGTTACCTGATTCCAGAAGCTCATGGTCTGAACCATTAGGCTTTATGGCCTTTAAATTCCAGGTGACTCCGGAGGAGGGACTTGGGTCCCAGCGACAGCCAAGAGGCCACATAAGCAAAGGAACCTGGGACAGAGGGACTGTGTGTCAACAAAGCAACTCTGAAGGGGTCAGAGTAGAAGGCGGTGAAGACCGTGCATGCAGGCCGGCGGTGAGCCACGTGGGAAGGCGGCGCGAGCGGGGGACACTAGCCACACGACTCCCACCACGCACCCCACCGCCATCTGCCGAGAGCAGGCCTGGGGCCGGGGGGCGCATGCTGCCCGTCCCGGTTACACCAGCTAACCCGGGCCTCACCACCACCCTCGAGGCAGCTCCCAGATCACATCCACCTTCTCACACCAAATTCGCAGTAAAACTAATCCACTGGGGGGTCACTTTTTATCGATAAGGGTTACCATCCATCATTAAGATCCATCAAAATGTGCTTAAAATACCAAAGCCATCCTTTTAAGGTGCGTGCTCTTGGAGCCAGCCCTTCCAAGTCCACGAATGGGTCCTACAGAAATCACTGTAGAAGCCCACAAACATGGATATCCACAGCAGCATCGTTTACAATAATGTAAAATTGGAAACAACCTAAATGTCCCAAAGAAAATCGGTTAAACTACTGACAGTACATTCACACGATGTGCGGCTGTGTAGGCAGTAACCACAGGGGCAAAGGAGACCCGTATTCATGGACACGGAGCCGTGGTTGTAACAGATTTGTTAAGGGAAAGCAGAAAGTCACAACAAAGTCTGTTGAGAAGGATCTTCTTTTCATTTAAAACATGTTTTCAGATAGATGATAGATATGATTGGCAGACGATAGAGAGAGGGCGGAGTAGGCAGGTGGGTGGGTAGACGGGCAAACACGCAGAGAGAGGCAGACACACGAGGGAGAGATCTAACAAAAATTTACAGAGCATCTACTACGCACCGAGCACAAGGCTGTGTGCTGGGAAACCGTAAGGAACAAAACTTTAAGCCCTCGCTGCTGGGCGCTTGCATTCTGGATACAGACAGAAACACTGTGCCAGGAGCGGGAGGGTGCAGTGCCAGGAGTCGCAAGTCATGTGAGCTTCGGGATGGGAGAGCGGGATGGGAGAGCATCGGGATGGGAGAGCGGGATGGGAGAGCGGATAGCTAGGGGCAGAGAAGAATCAGGCGTGGCCAGCACAGGTGGGTGGTGGGTGTGGACAGGCTCAGTAAACTCCGCCCTCTCCTTCCACACACATTTGAAATGTTCTGAAATAAAGATGGGGAACGAGTGTGGGAGACAGCGCCCCAGTGAAATGGTCCAGGTGCAAGGGCCATCTCCTCACTCTGTGGCAGGTGAGCACTCCCTTCTCCCAGCTCCTCACCTGCCAGAGGGGGAACTCATCATCCCCCTCTGCAGGGCTGTGGGGGCACACAGAGGGAGCCCTCAGCAGATGGTGCCTGGGGGGACGTGCACATCTGTGTAGGAAAAGCCGGGGGCCCCGGCATGCTCGCTGTGCAGGGAATCAAGGCAACTGACGTCTGTTTCCCTGTACTTTTCATGTTTTTGTCAATGGCCACGACTAACTCGGATGATGAAGGTGTAATGGGGAGCCCTAGATGTGCCCAGTGCAGCCTGGGGGTGGGGTGAGGACTGGCAGGCCCAGGGAGGGGCGATCATTAAGGGTGTGGATTTAGAGCCCCAAGACCTGTGTTGAAATTCTGGACACCAGTTTTCTGCTTATTCTCAGTATGACTTTGGGCCCTGTAGCTTCTTCCCACAGTCACCCCTTTTGTCTACAACACAGTACCCAAAGCATGCTCCTGGGGTGCCCCCAGGTGACAGCAGTCTCTGGGCAAGTCAATGTGAGTACCATGTAGCCTCCCACAGCCCTCCTGTAGTACCACCGTGCACGTAGAGAGGCAAGGCTCTGACAAGTCCTGCAGTGTAGACAGCTGTCTAGCTTTGCTTAAAACCATATATTATCTCCAGTCTGAGGCCTTGCTGTCTTGGGTTGAGTCCCCAGAAACATGCCTTGAGATAAGGATGGAGGGAGAGGGATTAGTTAGGAAACTTTTCAGGGGCTTGTCCTATGGAGGGTGGGTAACCGACTCACTCTTACAGCAGGCTTTGGAAAACAGTGGGGATCAGCCACAGGGTCCTTCCCACCAGAATGAGGGAGCAAGGTATACATAACCTCACACTCATATGCCCCAGTTATCAGTTAAAGGCTGCCCCCAGGGTGGGGGCTGTGAATTCCCAGGCACATTCCCGCTTACTATGTGGGCAGACAAAGTAAGTTCTGGAAGCCTGAGAGAGGCCTTCAACAGAGAGATGCAGATGCTGGACCCTGGGAGTGAAAGCTCCCGGGATCTGACAAGAAAGTGACAGAAGGACCAGACATAGGAACAGGTCACTGACAGTGTGGAGGCTCTGACAAGTCCCGCAGGATGAGCCGCTTTCTAACTTTGCTTAATCCAAACCTGTCTGGCCACGAGCCCTGCTCGATCTCTGTCAGCTGGTTCTAGGAGGCCTTTTCCACGATCACAAGCACACAGGTTCTGCCAGCACGGTGAACTTGCACTCAGCCATTCTTAACTTTTCAGCTTATGCTAATAGAGCTGCCCTATTGCCGGTTGCTATAAGGCAGAGATGATGACCTCTTCTTCTCTCTGTGTCCTCCAGGCCTGGCATCCCCACGGAGGAGAAACAAAACAAATCTCTCCGAGAAGAAATGAATCAATTCACCATTTCTTTAAGCTGCGGAGTTCTATAGCTGGCTCGGGGCAGGTGGGAAAGAACCGCTCTCCCCTTGGAAAATGTGAGGCGCTTGTATATTTAATAAACTATGAACTTTCTGTGCAAACGGAACATAAACCAATGATGTCAGTAGAGCCACCAGCCACTCGCTGGAGCTGTGCAGTGGCCGCAGCACCGGAGAACAGAGTGCTCTGGGAGGCCCGGGCCCCCCAGGCTCCCAGTCCCAGCATGACAGACGTCAGTGACAGGTCATGGAGGTGGGGCCACCACGGACCTGTGACTGCTACCATCCCCCCTAAATCTGACCTTCATAAGTCCATCATGATGGCCAACGGGCCTGGGAGCCTTAGGACAAGGTGGGGGGGGTGGGGTGGGGGAGAGCCAGAGAGGAAAACCCTAGAGTCTCTTTCTCTGTTCTAACCCTTTAAAATGAAATCCAGGGGCGCCTGGGTGGCTCAGTGGGTTAAGCCTCTGCCTTCGGCTCAGGTCATGATCTCAGGGTCCTGGGATTGAGCCCCGCATCAGGCTCTCTGCTCAGCACAGAGCCGCTTCCTCCTCTCTCTGCCTGCCTCTCTGCATGCTTATGATCTCTGTCTGTCAAATAAATAAATAAAATCTTAAAAAAAAATGAAATCCAAACTTCTCACCAGGCCCTGTGGGGCTTAGCCCCTGCCTGCCTGCATCTCCACCTCCCCACCTT